GGACATGCTGACCTTGGAGATGTCATGTGAGTCACGTTGAGGAGTGGGGTCCTGGAGCTTTTTCTACTGTAACAAATAAAACAGCATGGGAGTGACCTAAGGCCCTTGTGACACAATGAGAAATCCCTGTGTTGAGGAATTTTTACCTCCATGAATTAAAATCATGTGAGAGAGTCTGTGTGTGTGATGGGGGTTTTCAGTTTTGCCTGATTAGAGATGCTTAATAGGAAAAGAGCAGAGTAAAGAAAGATTTCTAAAATAGTGGTTGGGCTGCATTAGCATGGGTTTTAGATGCTTTCATTTTTGAGATGCGTTTTGAGATGCAGTTGGCCTAGTCACAGCAGCTGACAAGGCACACAACTCAGCAGGACCATGTTAAAATACCCCTATTAAAGTTCACGTAACTCGTACTCGCAGAACTGGGCTGGCCCCAGTTTCATGCACACCCTACCCCAGCGTCACCTCCAGCACGGGCACAGCTGGGCCAAACTGGGGGCCTGTGCAGGTGATAACCAAAGCGAGGGACAGTGCTATACTCCTCCTAAATGGGGACAGAGGGGCTAGGCAGGGCCATCCATGATAAGGACTGCCTGTTGTGTCAGCTGGTGATAAGAATTTCAAGCTTTCTTCTGCACTCTTCACTGTAAATCCACGCCTGAAGAGGGGATTGAAATCCTTTTAGTCGTAGAGCTGGTGGTACTGGTCGTTAGATGCATGTTTCTTTCACAGCCACTTTTATTCATAATGACTTTTAATGCATGTGAAGTACGACAGTTATGAACCTCAAGCCTCACCTGGTGGTGCGGTGCAGCTACAGACAAAACTGAAGTGCTATGGTTTCATCTTCGCCCTAAGTGCTATAGCTTCATCTTCACCCTGTCCCTGCCTCCAGCGAGGTGGCAGCAGTGGTGCCCGGCTCTGTGAAGGTCAGCAGAGCAGTCTCCCAGCAGGTCTGTCCTGCTTCAGACACAGTAAGCTTGTGGACTGTCAAACTGATTCAGATTAGATAGCAGGAAGAAATTTTTCACTCTGAGGGTGGTGAGGCACTGGAGCAGGTTGCCCAGAGAAGTTGTGGGTGAGGTGTTCAAGGCCAGGCTGGATGGGGCTTTGAGCAACCTGGTCTAGTGGGAGGTGTCCCTGCCCATGGCAGGGGGGTTGGAACTAGATGATCTTCAAGGTCCCTTCCAACCTAAACCGTTCTAAGGTTCTATGATAGTCTCTGTGTTAAGTAATTGCTCTGCTCGCAGGTAAGTGTATCCTATAGCATCATCTGATCGAGCGTCACCTGAGAACCAGTTTGATTTCTCGCACCCACTCCCACGGCTCGGCTGCGCCAGAAACCTCCCTCCCCTCCTCACTGGCGGACCCCTACTAATTTCCGAGTCGAATTTATTCGCGGCCGCTTTCCAGACGTTTTTTCTTGTTCCCGGCGTCACCTTCAAGCCTGAATGGCCCTTCTGCCCCGCTGCTGCTCCGGGCTGCGGTGTACCGAGCGGAACTGCCCGGCTCCTCCCGCCGCTGCGCCTTAAACGCAGCCCGAACGCTCTCCCCGTCCGCCGCCTGTGCCGCCCCGCGGGGGGCTGCGTGGGAGAGGCGGTACCTCGGACACAGCGGGGGCT